CGCCCTCGCTAAGGAGCGGTTCCCATTTTATCTACTCGCCGAAGCTTTTGAATCGCTGGGTGGACGATGAGCTGGGGACAACAGGCTGGCTGCTCACACCAGCGCGGGGCTTGAACTAACACAGTTCAGATGTTAAGGCAGTGGGATATACCCACTGTGCCACCGCTCCAGATAACCCTGGAGGTCCCTTCCAACACTATGATTCTATGATATATTAAACTAGATGCCGGAGAAAGGGCTTATCTAGAACCCTTTCCCCCCAATGCTAATATTGTATTATTATTTATTTTCATTTTAAAAGATTAGAGGAGTGTTTCTGTTGGAACATTATGACATGGATCACTCATGTACAGAAGAGTTGTGCAGTGGGGACCCTGATCGCTAGCCAGCACATACTATGACACTCCCACAATATCTGTCAAGCAGGACCTACACTCATAGCAACAAATTGTGATTTGGAGTGAGGGAAGATTTTACTTGGATTCCTTCCATAACCAATACATTTGTTATGTAAAACATGTTTGGATAGCCTATAACAAGACGGTAGCAGCAGCATTTTGCCTATGCAATAAACTGGCTGCCCAAAAAGACCTTCATCATGTGTCTAATGTTAAAACAGTACATTTACTTATAATGTACCTTAGGTATATGTTCCTTGCTAATTAACAAGAAAAGTAATGGAACCTTACCTATACTTTCTATCCATCATATGCCTTTCCTTTAAAATGTGCTATATTTTTAGATTTTCTTCACTTCATCTGTCTCTGACGTGGCTTCTCAAGTTATCTTTGTCTCAGAGATTTAATTGGTTTACGGAATAATTGTATCATTGTACAGCAAAACAGGCTTTCTGCAGTACATTCTTATTACCCTTGCTAAGTGAACCATGAGAGTGAAGCAGAGGAAATGGAACCACTACAGTTCTCTGATTAATTGCATGTGTTAATCCCACACTTGGTAAAAACCTTGTCTGCATTTATAAGTTAACATGCAGTAAAGTATCTTCCTTGTTATGCTTTTAAATCCTGCTGTGGCACTCTCTGCCACAGTATTTAAGTGTATCTCAATGTGATAGTTTTAAAAAAGCAGGACTGAGAAGGGTCTGCCAAGGGAAAAAGAACTGTGATAAAAATTACTCCTTCCAGTTGACTTCGAATCTATGGGAGTTTGATTAGACAAAAGCCCGCTTCACAAGTTAAACTGAACATACACACAATCTGTACACTTGGTTTCCCCCTGTATATGCACTGGGTAACTCTCATGTTACATTCAACGCATGTGCAGTTGAATGTGTGCTTGAAACCCCACATTTATCCAGGTACTGGTCCCCAATTTCATTCATAAAGTGCACTGGTTCTTTCTTACAAATAGATGCATGCAGATACCCACAGGATGTATATGTGTTCACTGTAATGTGTGAACAGGGCTATAAGGTGTTCAGGCAAGGCAAAATGAACGAATAAATCTGTAAATGTAGTACATGTAAACAGGTAGACTTTGGAAAAGAAAATCAAGTGGGTAAATGAAGTGCATTGTTGGTTTCTAAAGATAAATGAGGCAGGGAAGGGCAGGGTTATGCCCAAAGCGGAGGGCACTTTGTCTTATACTACTTTGAAGCTTCAGTACATGTGCATTAATTCCTCCTAGGTTGCAACTGTAGCACATATATCCTGCCCTGGAGATAGATCAAGATGGGTAGCCATGTAGTCTGTCTGTAGCAACATAAAAGAGTAAGAGTCCATTAGCACCTTAAAGACTAACAAAATTTGTGGTAGCTTGCTGAAGAAGTGAGCAGTGTGGCATAGTGATTAGAGTGTTGGACTAGAATTGGAGACCCCAGTTTGAATTCCAACTCTGCCATAGAAACGTGTGCTGGGTGACCTTGGGCCAGTTACACACTCTCAGCCTAACCTACCTTATCGATTGTTGTGAGGACAAAGTGGCATAGAGGAGAATAATGGAAGCCACTTTGGGTCCCCACTGGGGAGAAATGATATGAAGTAAAATCAATCAATCTAGATCAACCACTTCACCCAGATGGGTTGCAACTTAGCTGGAGGTGGGGGGATTACACTTTACTTCTTCACATTCCTAGCTCAGGGTGTCCAAAAGCCCTGGGTGTTTACCTGGACTTTGTGATAGTCTCTTATGTCAGTCTCCTCCAGAAGGATACTTCATGTCTGAACATGTCTGTCTGCTATCTTCCAGCTCATCAGTGATGGAGGTGTGGTCTACGCAGAAGCCCTCTGGGATCATGTCACCATGGATGACCAAGAGCTGGGCTTCAAGGCTGGTGATGTCATTGAAGTAATGGATGCCACTAACAAGGAATGGTGGTGGGGCAGGATAATGGACAGCGAGGGCTGGTTCCCAGCCAGCTTTGTACGGGTAAGACTGTGTGTGTATGATGTGTTTTCAGTTCTACGTGTTCACACCAAGCTCTGTTTCGGGACTTGTTAATGAGATGTTTCCTGCTGTCCCAGTAATTGCTAGTTGCCAGGATCTGACGCATTTGAAAATATTACATAGCAATCTGCAGCAGCCCTTCATGTGGGCAGTGGCTGTGAACCTGAGCGGGAAAGCCAGTATAGCTTTTCCCTTTATATGTGTCATTGATTGCACAGAAGGGGTTAGCAAGGCATGTTTTTCACATTCCCTTTTCTTCTTTCCTCAGCTTGAGTAGGAGGAAAGAGGGAGAAGGCAGAGCAGATGTTCAAGAGAAGAGGAGGGCAAGCAGTATTTTTGTGTGTGAATGAATAAAAAAATTCTGGGGGTTGGAGCTACTGCTTGTGTGAGACACTGTCATGAGGACTAGTTGCTGCTCACAGAATTGAGCCATGTTTATTTTTTAACAAATAAATCAGCAGAGCTGTGCTGCCCTTATTTAATTGCTATTTTCTGTTAAAGTCCAGGAAGGCGCTAGCTGCTGTACCAAATTTAAAAACAAAACAAAAAACAAGGTCATTCCCTGCCCAGGGGCTCACAGTAGAGCTGAACTGGTGAACAAACCTATTTTCTCTGCATGACAATTATAGTCATGGTCTCAGAATGGAACAACTGTGTTTAAAGTCTATGTTCCTTCAAATACTAGTTGCTGGGAGGCAACACCAGAGGAAGTTTTTTGGCCTCCATGCTGTGCCTGTGAGCCTTACAGAGATACCTAGTAAGCCACCATGAGAATCACAATAATGAACTATGTGGACCTTTGTTTTGATCCAGCTGAGCTCCCCTTATTTTCTTATGGGTTCATACAGGGGTCTTTTTGTAGAAAAAGAGCTGCCGGAGCTCATTAGCATAACTCATTAGCATATGCCACACCCCCTGACATCACCGGAAGTGTGTCATAAGGCCACACCCCCTGACATCACTGGAACCTCTTGATGACTGTTTTTTGTTTCTTGTCCTTGGCCCTATTGGTCTGTTGGTTATGGTCCAGCTCCCCCTCTTCCTGTCACATGACTCTGATATCACATCCCGGGATGCTCCTTTGTGAGCGACTGGCATTTAAGCTATAAGTGAGCAATTTGGCTACTGCACAAATTAGTTTGCTCTGGAGGCATCTTTCCTGAATTAAGACAAAAATGTATGTGCATCACTGCGCCAGACATAAAAACATAAGAGAATCCAATGCTGGATCAGGCCAGTGGCCCCTCCAGTCCAACACTCTGTTACACAGGGACCAAAAATACCACGGGCCATCAGGAGGTCCAGCAGTGGGGCCAGGACACCAGAAGCCCTCCCACTGTCGTCCCCCCCCAAGCACCAAGGATACAGAGCATCCCTTGCGCCAGACATAAGAACATAAGAGAAGCCAATGCTGGATCAGGCCAATGGCCCCTCCAGTCCAACACACTGTACAGGGCCAAAAATACCAGGGGCCATCAGGAGGTCCAGCAGTGGGGCCAGGACACCAGAAGCCCTACCACTGTCATCCCCCCCTCTCAAGTATATTCATATAACCTGATCATCCACACCCTTCAGAGCAGAAACCGAGCTCCCGACTACTACCACCAGGCCCGCGGGTCCCCTTGCTCTGCCATCTTCCACCACCGCGATCTGCTTGCTAGACTCAACCACACCTAGCATCGCTCACACTTTCCAAAATAAACAGAATAAATTAGACCAGGATCCTTCCTCATTGGTCTGCTCTGTCCCCATCCCAATGCAAATCTATCTACTAATGTCACAAGCTCTGCAGGTACGTCCGGCTTTGCGATCTCCCAGGATGCACAGGCAGGTCTACTCAGAAGCAAGTCCCCATTTTTAGTCAGTTGGGCTTACTTCCAGGAAAATGTGCTTTGGACCGCAGCTATGGTTTCCAAAGGCCAGCCACCCACTCCCTATACCAGAAGAGGGCTGTAGCTTGTGCTCCACCAGTGGACCCCTGGCCAACTTTCAGCGGATGGTCCAGTGTCTACCAGCTGCTGAGATCCTTGCAAAAGAAGCTAGACTGGATGGACCTTGGCCTGATAACTCTTCTTAGGCAAGAGTGTGGATTCAAGACCATTGAACCCTGATCAGCCATGTTTGAACTGTTGTGCGATCCCGAGAACTTATTCTTGTTCTGTAAACGTAAAACATAAGGATGGACCTTGTGGATTCTGGTAAAAATGAAAAAGCAAGAGGGAAATCAGCCTGTCCTCGCCAAGAACCTTCCATCTGAGTATCCCATTTAAAAAAACAACAACAAACCCTCCTGCACATCCCTGCCATCTCATACTTTTACAAATTTTATATTGGTGGACTCTTCAGCTGGTCACAGTAAATAGAAAAGCAGGAGCTCTGGCTGGTCTCCTCAGTTGTCGCTGACGGCCCCAGCCGGACCCTCCGCAAACGCTCGGAGGAGCCGCACAAGTTCCCCCTGCTATCCAAGGAA